CGTCCGGTGCAGGGGCTGATGCGGGAAGTCAGCTTTTTAAGACACTGCAGGATTCCAGGTGGAATGCTCTGGGTGGCTGGGGGTGTCCAGACACTAGCTTTTCGGGGACACTGTTGCTTTGAGTGCATGGGCTCTGGGGTGCCTTTGGCTTAGAAGCCAGACAGGCGGTAGCTCTGAGCAGATCTGAGGACGTAGGTCTTGCCCTGCCCTCTGCCAATCACTGGGCTTCTGTATAAACCGCAGTAAGCAGTGAGCCAGTAATCGTGTATGTCATTCAACCCTCTCGGCCTGAGAGGCAGCCACTCTCATTGGCCCTGAAGGTAAGGACCGTGGGTGCTACCATTACCTCAAAGGAATGCAGTTTCAGGCAGGCTGGGAATGTTAGACAAGGTCAAAATTAGTAAGAGGTAGAGCCAGATGTGGTGACTCACATTTGCAATCCCAGCTCTTGGGAGGCTGAGACAGATGGGCCACAGAGACTTAACAGCCAGCCTAGGCTACAGAGTGAGTGCAAGGCTAGCCTGGGCTATAAAGGAAAGTGTGGTATTAAAAACAATAAGGGATAGAGACAGCTGGGATACAAGTTCAATTTAAATCTGACTCCCATGGCTGAGTAAAAGTGGTCTCGATCTTCTGTCTCAAGCTGACTCCACAGCGGACATGGGCAGAGGAAGGACAAGGCATGTTAATGCAAGAGAAAGGGCCTCTGTCCTGTTGGGCTCTGGGACCTTGGTCAAGTTACTTGACATCCCTGAGGGTCACCCAGTGTCTTCACAGGAAGCTAACACAGAGTCCTTTTGGCTGGCCACCATCAGGGGCCCTCGGGCAGATAGGTAGGAAGTCTTATGTGGCGGTTTGAATGAGAACAACCTTCATATTGGAATACTTGGTTCCCAGTTGGTAGAACTAGGAAGGATTAGGAGGTGTGGTCTTGTTGGAGATGTGTTGGGGAGTATTATTTTGAGGTGTGTGACTTTTGTTTATGCTGCATTTGTTTAACTCTGTGAGGCTGTGTTACTGGGCCTGTGTAAAACACCTGATGGTCTAATAAAGAGCTGAACGGCCAATAGCGAGGCAGAGAGGATAAACAGAAGGAGAATGGAGGGGAAAAGGCGACAAGAGAACAAGGGGAGGAGGATGTCAGGGGCCAACCACCCAGTCAGCCAGCCAGCGATGGAGTAAGAAACAACGTAAGTGTACAGGAATAGAAGAGGAAAAGGCCCAGTGGCAAAAGGAAGACCATTTAATTTAAGAAAAGCGGGCAAGAAACAGGCCAAGCTAAGGCCGGGCACTCATAACTAAGAGTAAGCCTCCATGTGTGATTTATTTGTGAGCTGGGTGGTGGCCCCCTCAAAGAGTAAAACATCACACAACAGAGGTGTGTCCCCGGGGCAGGCGTCTCGGTTTCAAAAGTCCACACCACTCCCAGTTAGCTCTCTCTGCTCGTGGTTGCTGTCTCAACACATAAGCTCTCAGCTCCAGCTCCTGAACCATGCCTGCCTGCCTGCTGCCATGACACCCCGCTCCCCACGATCGTCCACCGAAACTGTAGGTCCCCGATAACCCTTTCTTCTACAATGTGCTCTGGTCATGGTGGCTTATACAGCAATGAGAAAGTAAGTAAGGCATGTTATAACCCCAATTCAGGGAAAGACACCTCCACTATCCACGTCTGCGCACTATTTGTGGCCAATGAAAATACTCCATAGAAAGTTCTAGAAGTCGTTCATAAGTCTTACATAATTTCCTGCACGTATATATGGGTGGAAGCCAGAGGTCAGTGCCAGCTGTCACCCTCAATCACTCTCCACCTGACTCTTTGAGACAAGTCTCCCACGGAGCCTGGAGCTCACCGACTCCGCTAGGCTGGATGGCCAGCAAGCCTGCGGGATCCTGTTTTCTCTGCCTCCCCAGAGCTGGACTTACAGGTGCACACCGCCACGCCTTGCTTTTGAATGTGAGTGCTAAGAATTGAATGCAGGTCGAGTGCTTGCATCTCAACTATCTCCCTGGCCCCTTAATGACTGAGTAGGTAGTCCCAACTGCTCTGTTCTATTATTAGCTTTTCTTGGTAAGCTCTAGCTATGGCTCACGTGTGAGGTAACCTTTACCCACAGGGCACATGAACAGAAAAACACCCAATGCACGCAGATTCCATACTATCCAGGTAACATTTTAGAACATGGCCCTAGCATGCCGGGGTGTCGGATGCTCGATCTGCATGCTGTGGGCTCCAAGGAGCTGGGTTCCTCGATACAGACATCACTCCTTTTAATTCTCACTCTTGTGCAACCCTGAACTCTTGCCCTTGGCTGGGGTTAGGGTGGAGTGGGTGCCCCAGGAGTTGGGAGCAGTGGGGTACAAAAGTTTGGGTCCTGTGCATGCCTCCTGGCCCATTAATTGCCTTCTTCCAGGTTCTGAAGGGCAAATACAGCTGAGAATTCTGCCTCTGGCCAAGGACAGGGGAGGAAAGGTCCTCTGTCCCTGGGATAAACTCTGGGAAAGGTGCAAGAGGCAGAGTCTGAAGGTCTCCCAAGGGAGCACCCATGCGGCACAGGAGTGTTTAGCTCACTGAGACCAAGGACCTGGGTTACGAAGCACGTACCCTGAGAGACTCCAGGTTATGGGACTCCACAGTGAAGCCAGGAGGGATATTATGAGGTCCTTGGCCAAGTAAAGGGCAGCTACCCAGGTAGGAATGGACCTCAGGGCGGGTTCATAAAGAAAATGCAGGTACACTTAGAAAATGGCTTCCCAGGCATGCAGACATCACACACTAGCTGGGTCATAATACCCACACCATCAACCCTGACTGTGGTGGTACAAACAAAAATGACCCCATAACCCATAGGGAGTGGCACTATCAGGAGGCGTGGCCTTGTTGGAGGAAGTACATCACTGGGGGGTGGGCTTTGAGGTTTCAAATGCTCAACCCAAGGCCAGTGGCTCCCTCTCTTCCTGCTGCCTGCAGATCTGGATGCAGAACTCTCAGCACCATGCCTGCCTTCTGTGTGGCCATGCTTCCCACCATGCCAATAATGCACTAAAACTCTGAACTGTCAGCCAGCCCCAATTAAATATTTCCCTTTATAAGACTTGCCATGGTTGTGGTGTCTCTTCCTAGCAATAGAAACCCCAACTAAGACATAGTTGAAATAAGATCCCCACCAAAGAGTGTCCCACGTGCCTTGAAAGCTACACACATTCATCCTCCCAATGGCTCCTTGCACATCCTTGGGGACGTCAAGTATCACATAACCACCTGCTCACTCAGTCCTGCATACCAAAGCTAGGGTCAGGGAAAGCTGTTGGGATGCAGGTGGCTCACTAGTCAACAAAATCCTTCTTCCTTCATGCTGTGAGAACCGCCCCTAGGACAAAGCTAGACAGCAAGGCAGGTTCACACCCCAGACTCCTCACCCTACAGCAAAGTGCGACCAGGCTGCTGCCGAGGCAACCCGTGACCCACCACTGTGGCCCCTTGCAAGGTGTCTCGTGGACCAGGAGGCTCAAACACTCCCCTCCCCCACCTGAGATGCTCACCCAGGACTGCTCAAAGGAAGAACTTGACCGATCTTGGTGGTTCAAGTGACAAGCCAGGTATGGCTTCAGGAACGAAATTGTTCTAGATGTCTGGCAGGTGTGTTCAACCCACAGCCCTCAGGGACAGCACAAAATCATAAACTGACTTAAGACATGAGACTTGTCTTTGCAATTGCTTATGTTTGATAACTGGCCTGCACAGTTCTCCAGTGTGAACTTTTGCAGATGACATCTGTCACAAATGTCAAAGGGCTGAATGCACTTTTTCAGAGTCAGCGGCACCCCCCCCCCAACGCTGTTCTCTGGAGACATTGTGGAACTAATTTCTCAGAGCCCTGTGGCAGCTGCATCTTAGACAGGCTTCCTACCTTACTCAAAGAACTTTCTGGGGAACCTTCCCTGAAGCCCAGAGCATGGGCAAGTAGCCTTGCAGAAGATAAAGGAGCTGAGAACTGTTTCAGGGAATTGAGTTGCACTTGAGGCCCACTGGTCTACAATCTCTGGCCGGCTGGTAGCTCAGGAACTGTGGTCTAACTCAAGAGATTTCCTACACACCTGCATAGCTTCAAGGGTCTCCCCAATGCCAGGGCTGTGTGATGCTACATCTCATAGGGAAACTACACTGGCCTGAGTGGCGAGAGTAAACTCACACCCTTCTCAGAGACCACCGTGGGGAACAGGAGTGACATGTGGGGCATTTCTCCAGCAGAGCCCAGGACATGCTCAGGGAGGTGCTACAGGTTCCCAAGAATGTAGTAGAGATTCAGCGGTAGGTCAGTGTCCTGGTTTATCAAAGGTGGCTTCTGGGCCCCACCCTCCTGGGAATCTGTGGGCAGTTAATAGTTGCTGAAGGTATAAGAACCATTTGCTTTAGTGGTGAAACCACTGTCAAGGTACCCAAGTTCCTGGAAATAGACCTTCACCCATCCTCCCCATAAGCAGCCCTAATGGGACTCAGTGGGGGGGGGCACAGACGGGAACTGGCTGGGAAAAGGAAGGGGTCTCTGGGAGTAGGAGGGACAAGAGAGGGCGACAAACATGATTAAAACACACTATACACATGTTTGAAAATGTCCTAATAAGCCCATTATTATGTAAAACATGTACTAATGAAAAACTTCAAATAAATTTGTTGTTGTTGCTGTTATTTTTTTCAAGACAGGGTTTCTCTGTGTAATAGCCCTGGTCATCCTGGAGCTCACTCTGTAGAGCAGGCTGACCTCTAACTCACAGAGACCCACCTGCCTCTGCCTCCTAAGCGCTGGGATTAAAGGCGTGTGCAGCTACCTCCTGGCTTCAAATAAAACATTTTAAAAGTCCACTCACTATTCAATCCTCAGAGCAAAGGCCACCCTGAGACAGATGTAGTAGGTAGGGGCCAACTCCAGGAAGCTCAGAATGGCTGGAGGGTCCAGGCAGGAGCTGTCCAAGTCTGTCCCCTGTCGCCTGTCACTCACCTTGCAAGGCTTCTTTGGCTCGGGCCAGTTCCTGCTCCTTCTGCACCAGCTGCACCCGAAGCTCTGTGGCTGAGAGGACCTCGGAGCACTTGCCGCCCTGTGACTCCTCCAGATCCTTGGCCAGCATCTCCTTCATCTGCCGGAGAAGGTGCACTTCCTCCTGAAGCTGGACCACTTCCTCCCGCAGGAGCACTAGGGGACAAGAACAGTTGGTCAGAGGTGGGGGCGCCCGGAAGAGCTCGGGTGACTCCTGTGAGCTGTGCACACAGGACCTTTTCCCAAGTGGGGCCCGGACCACACCTGCCACACCCCTGAGCTGCCCATACTCTGTGGCCACTCGGTGTCCTCCTGATGCTTACAGACTCAGGAGTCAACATTCTTACCATGAGCGACCCCGTGCCTGGGGAAGCTCTGTGCCTGATTTCTCATAGATTCCCCCAAACCTGAGCCTGGTACCAACAGGATCCCCACCACACACACATCCGGCCACTGAGGCTCCAAGAGGTGAAGGTGCTCTGAAAGACCACGCCTCAGGCGCGACTCTGGTGGTGAGTCAGAAATAGAACAGTGCCACACTGGAGAACTAGTAATGAAGGGCACAGTTATATCCTGCAGAGCCTATGCCCCCCCACGCTCTGCACCCCACAGAGAACCCAGCATTTACAGGCATAGCCCCAAGAATGGGGGTACCATGGGAGTAGGACATGATTGCATCTCTGTTCAGTCCTGTGTGTGCACCCTGAGACCCTTGTGTCTTAAGAAGGAAGGTAACCCGGGTAACAGATGAGGCTTGGAAGATGAGAATGTCAGGGAGTATCATTTCCCACTGTTGTCCTGCAGGCCTTGGTGTGTTCCTTTAAGACCAATAAACCTCAAACTGCCAGGAGTGCCGGAACAGCACTGCGCCCTCATGGGGACAGGAGACATAAGAGGGGAGGGGGGCATACTAGTAGCAGGTGGTGTGGGCCTTCGTGATGACCACTCTTAGGAAGTCACATCAAGAATGAAGTTACCGGGTATGGTAGCACACTTGTTTAACACCAGCCTAAGAGACTAAAGCAGGACTGCTGCAGGTTCAGGGCCAGCCTGGGCTAATAACGAGTCCCAGGCCAGCCTGGGTTATATAGTTTTCTTTACCTCCCCCACCCTCTAAAACAGAGTGAGTCCTCATCTTGGGGGCAGGAGAAGAACCAAGAAGAAGAACTGTCCCTGCCCAGTCCCACTCTCCACTGCAAACCATCAGGCTCTTCCCTGCCTCCTGCCATTCAGCTTTCCCTGTGTCAGCCTCCTTCAGGTGGCACAGATCTGTGCTCCACCTCACCCCCTCAGACAGGCTCTTCCCCGAAAGACCCCAGTGGGGGGAGACGCTTGCCTGTTCTGTCTTACACTGGTGGACTCCAGTGCAGGCTGCTGCCATGTCCCTCCAAAAACCTGATTGGTCCTGGCCCAGGCCTCACTCCAGGTGGGAGGCCAGACCATAAAAGGCCTTAATTCCAGCCCCTGTCCCTTGCTATGGCTTGCCAGCTTTAGTGGTACCCAAGACTCTGGAATTCTCCTTTCCTTTACCGGTGGTCTTCATTTGTCCATCCTGATAGGGTCCCTTTGCACACCCAAGGGCTTACTTCAGAATCAGTGTGAGTGACTCCTGCACAAGTCCATCGATACTATACTATGTGGTCGGTTTTTGTTTGCACAATATGTATTATATAATTTAAATACACACACACATATATAACATATATTAAATGAATGATTTCTATGTGTCTTCGAGGCACTCTGAGGAAGCCACTAAGGTTTTATTATCCATGCAGACAGCAGTGAGCCCCAAGAGGCCCTGTCAGTCCCTTGCCAGTTCTTCCACAAACTTTATGTCCTTTCTTGGGGTCTTGTTTTTTTTTTGTTTTTTTGTTTTTGTTTTTTTGTTTTTGTTTTTTTTTTGTTTTTACACAGCACAGGGATCCCATCCAGCCAGGGCTGCCAGATTCAAAAAAGTAGAACAAACTCAAACAAGAACCAAAAACCCCAGACACACAGGGGGCTGCCCTCAGGGAAGCGACGGGTCATCCCTAGGGTAGGTGTACCCCAGCAGCGTGTGGAGCGCACTTAGGCTTGGCATGCGTTTGAGTTGCCCTGCGTTCTAATTTGGCCAGGCGTGCCGTGTTTCTTCCCAGTGGGGTTCTCTCCTCCCACAGTGACGGGTGCAGGGAGCGCAGTGCCCCGGGGACTGGCATTGCCAGGGCACCCCGAGGCAGCGGGTGAAGGTGGGAACACAACAGCTGCTGTACCCGAGCCTGGCCAAGAGCAGGCATGGGGGGTGTGGCCCTGGCACCGAGGCCCCGCCCTTCAGTCGAGCCCAACTCTAAAAGCAGCCAGTGGGAACCAGGCACACATAACAAGGGCACACCTAACAAGGGCCCAGGCTCGGGAAGCCAGGCTGGCAAAACAACTAAGGGAAAATGAGAGGTTTGGGCAATCTTACTAAGCACCTGGCTGGGGAGGCTGTACAGGCCTGCACTCTGCCGGATCACAGCCAACCTACCACATGGCCTTGAGAGGCTGGGCCCCAGACTGCAGTCCAGGAATCACCAGACAGGGAAGGGCTATGCCTATAGGCCTCAGTTGTCTTACCTGTGAAATGAGGTAAATGAAACTTAAATGGAGGTTGGAGGTGTGGCTTAGGGGCAGAGAGTGTGCCTAGTGTGCCCAAGGCCCTGAGTGCCACCCCCAGCTCTACCCCAAAACAAACCACTTAAATGTGCCCAGCACCCTGCCCACAGTACGGGAGTACCACCTATATGCGCAGCCCGTTTTGCCTTTTGCATAGAGGGGACCAGACATACACATCAGAAACAAGGGACAATGAAGAGGCCGGAGTTAGCTTTGGTTTTCTCCCTCAGAAGGTTTGGTACCTTGCAGTGTGTCCTTGGACAAGATGCTATGCATTTCTGGGTCTTCGTAGAGGGGAGGGAGTACTCTTTGTAAAGATGAATGTTACTGCTAGTGTGTGGGAACAGAGACTCTGGCATCTGATGTATAGCTCAACACAGTTGCCAGCAAGAACGGGTGCCTTGTCGGGTTCAAATTAATTAAGAAAAAAAACGAGCCAAGTTTCTCAGCCACAGAGTCCACACTTGCTCCTCAGGTGCCTCCAGGAGGCTAAGCAAGGTGCTGGATAGTGCAGTACAGACTACTGACTCTCATTCCAGCCTGTGCAGACAACCAGTGCAGACAGCCATTGAGGGAGACAGGAGGAAGGCCAAGCTGCTACGCCAAGCTGTTGCAAAGGCTCATGCTCCCTTCACAGGAGGCTTCCGGGACTGTCCTGGCCTTGTCCAAGCACAGAAAAGCAAACAGCGCTATAAATGAAGCGTATTCAGGTGACTGTTGCTGGGAGACCCTCCCGCCTCGGGGAGCTGCTTGCTAACCATGGAGCTAACCTACCAACACAAGAGGCCCCAGGTGCCTCTTCCCTGAGGGTGAGGGTTGCAGTGCGGTGTTCCCAGAGGACACATGCACAACAATCGGTGACCATGGGAGCTGAGATGGAACCTTATACTCCACCGCCCATCTCCTTTAGTCTGTAAGAGTTCTGCTTTAAAAAGTTATCTCCTGGCTTCCAATGCAGCTAAGGTTGCCCATGTGACCCAGTTCTGGTCAACAGAGTTTAGAAATAAAATGCTTTCGAGAAGGACTGCCATTTAAAGACAAAAAGACGAAAAGAGGAGGGGGAGAGCTGAGTCTTTTCTCCACATTTTATCTTCCGAGAGTGGATTTAATGGTTGGAACCACCTAGTAATAACGAGGCAATCAATGTCTTAAGTAGATCAATCCTCACAATAACCCACGAGATAGCTACTATTATTATCACACCAACTTTATAGACTGGGGGTTTGAGGTACACGGGAAGTTAATGATAGGGCCAAGCTCACAGATAAAGAGCAGAGCCAGGCTTTGGGCCTGGGTGGTGTCAGCATCCTGTTTAGGCTTCTAGAATATAGTCCTGTTCTGAGTCCTGAGACATAGTCTGGGAACACTGATGTTTGCTGATTTCCTCATGCAAACATCCCAGCCTGTGTCTGCATGAAGCATGCTAAGGGAGCTGGAGCCCTGGGCAGGGTAACTGTCCGGACCCCCATAGTGGCCAGACCGTCTACCGTACAGTGTTATCCAAATGATAAGGCTCAGGAGAGGAACGCAGACTGTGGGTGGATTCAGCAGTAGAGCCCTGGCATGGAGTGACAGTGGAGTCCCCCTCATCACTGCCCTCAGCTCCACCCCCACAGCAGTGAGCTTGTTCCTGCTCCCCGTGGTGGAGTGGATCTCGGCAATCCGTGTGAGGGGGGGCCAGGGGGGAAGGGGGTGTCCCGGCCCTCGCACCAGGTTCATGGCCCCTGCAGCTCCTGAGAGGAATGTGGGGTTCCTCAGAGACAGAGATAGGATCTTCTCACATGCACCCCAGGGCCAGCTTTGGGCAGGGCCCTGGCGGGCGTGTGTCTACGGTGCTGGGTGCTTCAGATAGAGGCAGGCCAGGCAGGTCAGGGCAGTTAGTGGGGCTCAGTCTTGGTTCCTCCACTTGCTGGTGCTAACCCCTGCCATCTGACCTGAATGCAAAAATAAGAGCCAAGACTGGTCTCCTGGGCTTCAGTAAACATTAAACAAGGCAACTGTCTCTTAGGCTCTGTCAACCTTTTAACGCTAACACAGTGTTGCTACCTACAAAGTTCAGGCCCTGGGGAATGCACTAGAACTAATAATAATAATAATAATAATAATAATAAATATTTTAAAGTACCTCCAAATCTCATAACTTTAACTAAGTACTAAGTTCATTATATCATGTTGGGTTGCATTCATAGTTATCCTGGGGCACATGCTGCCTACCAGCCACACAAAGGATAGAAACATTCTGGAAATTTCTAAATGGGGGTCAAGTGTAGTTTATCACCACCAATTTGTTTTGTTTTGAGACAGGGTCTTTTTACATAGCCTTGGCTGTCCTAGAACTCAGAGATCCACAGGCCTCTGTCTCTCCAGTGTTGGGATTAAAAGTGTGTGCCACCACGCCTGACTCAATGTCATGATAGATTGTGTCCTCTGTCTTCTCCGAGAAGGCTATGGTCTCAGCACCCAAGGAACCCCGAGTCACAGCCTCCCTGACCTAAGGGAGGGCAGGGCAGGTAGGCAGGCTGTCA